ATACTGTTTGATCTCTTCGATTTCTGAAGGTGATTTGTCATTTGGGTCATAAATGATTGCCGACTCAAGATCAGACCATGCAGTCACCTCCTTTCTAGCCAGTGAACCTAACCCTAGAAACACAAACCTACACATTGGAGCACCTAGTATTTTCACACATTCATCAAATACTAACCCATGAAACTCTTTTATCTGACTTGTAAGGTTATCATAGTACTCCTTGCTGTTTACTATTAGCCTGTCTTCACATTCATTACTCATTTCAGATGTAACACTATCTACTTGCATGTCATTCTTATGAATCTTATTCATGGTATCAGTAGAATATGTCCTTACTTGATCCAGATGATTCCTGTACCTTTCTGCACAGTCTGCAGTTGACTCATTGTTAACTTTAGATACAGTTTTAAGAAAGTCAGTCTCTACTTGTTGTAACTGGTCAGTTATAGATTTTACAGTTATAAGTTTACCTTTAACAATTATTTCATCATCATGATCTCCAACAGTCCTTGACTTTTTCTCAATGCGTTGTAGTGCTGCATTGAAGAGTGCTGTTGCATAGATGAACTGCCAATGATCGGATGTCTCACATGCCTGTTTGGCATAAGCTAATCCCAATTCATACATGTACCCAGCTTGCTTTCTGAGCTCTGTCTTCTGATCACATGCAGTTATTTTCTGACCCAGCAGATACATTGCATCAGCAGTAGTCTCTGCAGAACATAAACATGAAATAACAAAATTAAATGCAATTGCCAGTTCATACCAAGATTATTTTCTGCTCCTCTTCTGTTTTCTGCCATTCTTAGTCTTTCAAGATCAGATATTAGATATTCAAAAAATTAGTTTATCACAGGAAAATTATTTCATCTATTACTTCAACAGTGAGTAATTATGTACACCATTTATACCTTTGAGTATTTTTATCTCTTTACCATAACCTCACCTGGTGTCTCACTATCTGAGGTCGTAGGTCCTGGATTAGATTCAACTCCCCCTATCAGCAAGAGGAAGGTGATTACTAATAACAATTGAGGATCGTTCCTCAGGGCCTCAGCTATTTCATAACTGGAATTGGAAGGGCCATGTGGGTGGAAGTTGCCTATAGCACTCCGCCATTGATCTATCGTCACACCCATGACCTAAAAGTAACAAAATACACTTACATTTATAGGAACATGTATGGTTATTGGCAAATGATTTTAGAGACACTGCTCTATAGTCATTCTAATATATAAGCAATTGGGCTCAAAATTGGGCCTAAAATCCCAATAATTGCAACAGTTTCTAAATTAGGTTTATTCAGTGTGTTGATATCAATAGAAAAACACTTGTAGAAAAATGTATGCAGTGGAAAAATATTTAAATTTGCTTACAACCCCTCCCTAAATTTGACATATGATTGAGATTTATATTTTATTTATTAATGGGCTTCCCCTTTTACAGTACATCTTGTAGATGAGTGAGTCATCATTGGAAATTTCATGAATATAGAAATTTTAGATTATTGAGAAGAGGAGGGAAACCCCCAGAGCTTTAGAGATGACAGACATGTTACGTCTCTTGTGTTCCATCTTCGTTTGCGCAAATTCTCGCCAGTTAGTTTTGGAACATTGCACATCGTTGTGATGTTTTAATCAATATAAGCATATTCCTTACATCTTTCTTTATCTTGATGTGAAATAACAAGCTATGATATTGGTTAATACGCCGAAATTAACATAATATTAACGAAGCGTTATTAGAAAATTTTGAATTCGCCACTTTTTTTTGTCAATTTGGACCAATCAAGACGGTAGGTTATCTCAATACAGATTAACATTATAGACATAGGTCATCTTTGAACCCTGGGGTTTTCCCCCTCTTATTATTGAGGTCATAAAAATGTAAGAAACGAACAATGTCCCACTAATCAACTGTACACATATGATTCACTATTGCTAAAATTCAATCCCGATAATTCTAGATATAATCATTAATAGAACCAATTAAATAAGTCATTTGTACTGTATCTTTAGCACTTCAAAAAAGTTCTATAGAAATTAGTTTGACCTCTTTTTGGCTTGAAACTACAGTTCGATACAGCTTAATTTCTTGATAATTATTAAAAGTACACTGTAGTTCAAATAAATAAGTTTTTAAGTTTTCTTTTCTTACCTACAAATTATTTGAGATAATTCAAAATGTCATCTCTTCTGATCTGTTGCTGTTTATGTGTAGTGTTTCGTGAGCAACTTGTTAAAGTAATGCATTCTGAATTATTCTTTTTGTTTGCTTTTCAAATTTTTTATATTTACCTGACAAACATCAATATAAGGAGGTCATGAAGGTTTTATATTCCTTTGAAGCAACAGGAATTACTCCGCCATAAATAGTGCTAAATTGCCCTTTCACGTTTTATTTTTTCAAGACAATTATTAAAGAACTATATCAGAATTATAACACTCAATAGACAAAAGCTACTCAAATACTCTGTTTTGAGAACTTATGTAGAATTTAGAAATTATTTGAAAGAAAAATTTATTTAAATATCCAAAATGAAAATAATACACAGGCTATTTGCAAGTTTAGACTTAGAGCACATAAGTTATATGTACACATAGAAATTGGTTGTCATTAGAGGCCAAGCCAAAACCTCGATGAACGTTCATGCAATTGCAATATCTATAATACTTGGGTGAACAACATTTTCTTATGAGTTATAGAGAAAATACAACAGAAAAAAGAAAACTTCTGTTTGCCACCATATTTAGTAGGCAGTCTTGATGTTATATTTAAAAAGCTTACATCCCATAAAAATTCTTATGTTATTTTGGGGAAGTTGGGGACTAATCATTTACTGAGTTACTTCGAAGAAAAATAGATTTAGAAAGACAAGCAGACAAAAAGTTAAAGTCTTCTGAGATAAGATACACCTTTGAAAGATTGACAACCCTGATTCCCCATTTGATTTGGTTTTTGAAGCCTGCACTCTTTGAATTTAATATTTGCTTGATTAATTACTAAGGGTAAGAAGAGACGTACAGCTTTGCTGATTTCCTTAAATTGCTATACATGTATATAAGCAGGCTTAACATGTGGTCTATAAGTGGAGCTGGAGTTTACAAACTTTTGGAGAGGTTGTAGTAGGTATGCCTGAATTTAAATGATTCACTGCAATAAATTGATGCAATGTCTTGATTGTGCCATCATTTGTATTGATTTTTGGCGCATGTTGTACACCTTACCACCAGATATGAGAAGTTTTTGTCATTATATTAATGTTGTATTTATCTAATTTCAGCCCTGAAATGGATCAGTGGTAGTATGGGGCGCATGCTGTACACATTACCACTCTATATGTTGAAATTTTGTCATTATATTAATGTTGCATTTCAGTGCATTTTTCAGTATATTTTTGCACTTAAATTTGTCCTTAAAATTCAGTACATTTTTCAGTACATATTTATACTTAAATTTGTACTTAAAATTCAGTATATTTTTCAGTACATGAATTTGTACTGAAAAATATACTGAAAAAAATTCAGTGCATTTTTCAGTACAAAAATATACTTAAATTTGTACTGAAACAAAACTAGTACATTTTTCAGTACATATTTGTACTGAAAACGCTCCTTTCAGTACAAATGCTCTGCCCTGTGAATGGATCAGTGGTAGTATGGGATGCGTGTTGTACACCTTACCACCAGATATGTTGAAGTTCGTGCCATTATATTAATGTTGTATTTATCTGATTTTAACCCCGACATTAATCAGTGGTAGTATGGGACGCATGTTGTACACCTTGCAACCAGATATGTTGAAATTTTTGTCATTATATTAATGTTGTATTTATCTGATTTCAGCCCTGAAATGGATCAGTGGTAGTATGGGATGCATGTTGTACATCTTACCACCAGATATGTTGAAGTTCGTGCCATTATATTAATGTTGTATTTATCTGATTTCAACCCCGACATTGATCAGTGGTAGTACGGGACGCATGTTGTACACCTTGCAACCAGATATGTTGAAGTTCTTGCCATTATATTAATGTTGTATTTATCTGATTTCAGCCCTGAAATGAATCAGTGGTAGTATGGGGCGCATGCTATACACCTTACCACCAGATATGTTGAAGTTCTTGCCATTATATTAATGTTGTATTTATCTGATTTCAGCCCTGAAATGGATCAGTGGTAGTATGGGCCGCATGCTGTACACCTTACCACCAGATATGTTGAAGTTCTTGCCATTATATTAATGTTGTATTTATCTGATTTCAGCCCTGAAATGGATCAGTGGTAGTATGGGCCGCATGCTGTACACCTTTCCACCAGATATGTTGAAGTTCTTGCCATTATATTAATGTTGTATTTATCTGATTTCAGCCCTGAAATGGATCAGTGGTAGTATGGGCCGCATGCTGTACACCTTACCCCCAGATATGTTGAAGTTCTTGCCATTAAATTAATGTTGTATTTATCTGATTTCAGCCCTGAAATGGATCAGTGGTAGTATGGGCCGCATGCTATACACCTTACCACCAGATATGTTGAAGTTCTAGCCATTATATTAATGTTGTATTTATCTGATTTCAGCCCTGAAATGGATCAGTGGTAGTATGGGGCGCATGCTGTACACCTTGCAACCAGATATGTTGAAGTTCTAGCCATTATATTAATGTTGTATTTATCTGATTTCAGCCCTGAAATGGATCAGTGGTAGTATGGGGCGCATGCTGTACACCTTGCAACCAGATATGTTGAAGTTCTAGCCATTATATTAATGTTGTATTTATCTGATTTCAGCCCTGAAATGGATCAGTGGTAGTATGGGGCGCATGCTATACACCTTACCACCAGATATGTTGAAGTTCTTTCCATTATATTAATGTTGTATTTCTCTGATTTCAGCCCTGAAATGGATCAGTGGTAGTATGGGGCGCATGCTGTACACCTTGCAACCAGATATGTTGAAGTTCTAGCCATTATATTAATGTTGTATTTATCTGATTTCAGCCCTGAAATGGATCAGTGGTAGTATGGGACGCATGCTATACACCTTACCACCAGATATGTTGAAGTTCGTGCCATTATATTAATGTTGTATTTATCTGATTTCAGCCCTGAAATGGATCAGTGGTAGTATGGGGCGCATGCTATACACCTTACCACCAGATATGTTGGAAGTTCTTGCCATTATATTAATGTTGTATTTATCTGATTTCAGCCCTGAAATGGATCAGTGATAGTATGGGGCGCATGCTATACACCTTACCACCAGATATGTTGAAGTTCTTTCCATTATATTAATGTTGTATTTATCTGATTTCAGCCCTGAAATGGATCAGTGGTAGTATGGGGCGCATGCTGTACACCTTGCAACCAGATATGTTGAAGTTCTAGCCATTATATTAATGTTATATTTATCTGATTTCAGCCCTGAAATGGATCAGTGGTAGTATGGGACGCATGCTATACACCTTACCACCAGATATGTTGAAGTTCGTGCCATTATATTAATGTTGTATTTATCTGATTTCAGCCCTGAAATGGATCAGTGGTAGTATGGGGCGCATGCTATACACCTTACCACCAGATATGTTGGAAGTTCTTGCCATTATATTAATGTTGTATTTATCTGATTTCAGCCCTGAAATGGATCAGTGGTAGTATGGGGCGCATGCTATACACCTTACCACCAGATATGTTGAAGTTCTTTCCATTATATTAATGTTGTATTTATCTGATTTCAGCCCTGAAATGGATCAGTGGTAGTATGGGGCGCATGCTGTACACCTTGCAACCAGATATGTTGAAGTTCTAGCCATTATATTAATGTTGTATTTATCTGATTTCAGCCCTGAAATGGATCAGTGGTAGTATGGGGCGCATGCTGTACACCTTGCAACCAGATATGTTGAAGTTCTAGCCATTATATTAATGTTGTATTTATCTGATTTCAGCCCTGAAATGGATCAGTGGTAGTATGGGGCGCATGCTATACACCTTACCACCAGATATGTTGAAGTTCTTTCCATTATATTAATGTTGTATTTATCTGATTTCAGCCCTGAAATGGATCAGTGGTAGTATGGGGCGCATGCTATACACCTTACCACCAGATATGTTGGAAGTTCTTGCCATTATATTAATGTTGTATTTATCTGATTTCAGCCCTGAAATGGATCAGTGGTAGTATGGGGCGCATGCTATACACCTTACCACCAGATATGTTGAAGTTCTTTCCATTATATTAATGTTGTATTTATCTGATTTCAGCCCTGAAATGGATCAGTGGTAGTATGGGGCGCATGCTGTACACCTTGCAACCAGATATGTTGAAGTTCTAGCCATTATATTAATGTTGTATTTATCTGATTTCAGCCCTGAAATGGATCAGTGGTAGTATGGGGCGCATGCTGTACACCTTGCAACCAGATATGTTGAAGTTCTAGCCATTATATTAATGTTGTATTTATCTGATTTCAGCCCTGAAATGGATCAGTGGTAGTATGGGGCGCATGCTGTACACCTTGCAACCAGATATGTTGAAGTTCTAGCCATTATATTAATGTTGTATTTATCTGATTTCAGCCCTGAAATGGATCAGTGGTAGTATGGGACGCATGCTATACACCTTACCACCAGATATGTTGAAGTTCGTGCCATTATATTAATGTTGTATTTATCTGATTTCAGCCCTGAAATGGATCAGTGGTAGTATGGGGCGCATGCTATACACCTTACCACCAGATATGTTGGAAGTTCTTGCCATTATATTAATGTTGTATTTATCTGATTTCAGCCCTGAAATGGATCAGTGGTAGTATGGGGCGCATGCTGTACACCTTACCACCAGATATGTTGAAGTTCTTGCCATTGATCTGCATCTATGTCCAAGACACTACAGATGATGAGCTTAAAGCTGAGTGCCAAACTGCCCTACATCTAATGGCCCATACACTCCAGAGAACAGAGCATGTTCAACATGTGCTACATGTCATTAAAGAGGTACATTATTTCAAGAAAATAAATTCTAAATCACAATAAAAGGGAGGAAAAATGGACATGTGTTGTGATTATAGTTTACTTTCTACTTACTTTTTGATTTTCTATTGCAAATTGAAAGACTGATTGAAAATGTTACTCTTTGTGTATTCTATGCTTTCTAAGTATAAGTTACAATGATCTACATGTATGATGATTAATGGCATAGCTTGTTACAGTCATACTATTCACTAAAAATCTTGTCAAATATTGTCACAATTGAACAGTATCTGTTCATTTTTTAGATATCTGGACTTGGAATCTGGCGTGCAAGAACTGCTGTATTGACGTTCATCCAAGCATCTGTCTTCTACAATCTATTTACCGTTCTCCAGACAGAACACCTTGACCAGATCAAATGCATAGTGCTCCATCTATTGGTGGATGATCAGCTGGAAGTCCGGGAAGCTGCAGCCGTGACACTTGGTGGATTTTTACACTGTGGATACCTGAAGATTGATAAACAAATGCTGGTAGGTTTGTTAGACCTAAAAGGAGTGACATAATAATGAATTTTATTAATGTACAACAAAAAGATATTGAATTTTTGTGTTGTCATATGAGGATATGAAGCTAAAATAATTAGTTTAGTTGATAAAGATCTTACATTGAATTGGTAAAATAAAAAATGGGACATATTTGGGATGTATCATTAAAAATAAAGCTTACTCGTAGAAACTTCACACTTTGTGACAAATAAAGATGGCACATCACATGCGGATTTCATGGTATTATTTCCTGCCGTGTAAGATTGTTTATTGTCTCCACTGAGTATAATGCCATCTATTTTCAGTCCTGAGGACCATTAAGCAGATTACTCATTATACTGCACCTTCCTTAATGCCTCTATTAATTTATGATTTTTAGACACACTTTGAGAAGCTAAGCAGCACAAAGGTAAAGAAACAGAAGCGTCAGCAACAAGTTCCCATCTCTATAGAATCCCTTATCAAGAGGCATGCTGGGATACTCGGCCTGAGTGCACTCGTTCAGGCGTATCCTTACGATGTTCCAGAATTTATGCCACAAGTTTTAATGGACCTTAGTAACCACCTAGATGACCCACAACCAATTCAGGTTAGTCTAATTGTTGTATTCGTTGTTCCCTCTTCAAAAGAGGAGACGTGAAAGATTTTCCTTATAAGGTCAATATATTTCCCATGATGGAGTTTGCGGAGGAACAAAATCATACTTCCTTGTTTTCCCCCATAGGTTTAACATGGGTATTTTCACACCTTTTGTCTTTTTGAGGGCTTTTTTAAGTACATTTATACCTTCTTGATTAAAGAGCGAACCACCCACGATAGGCTTAATTAAAATAAAACCAAAAATAAACTAAATTACTTATGAACTAAATAAAATTCAAAACATGCTTTTTGTCTGAATCTCCTTTTTTGTGATTTATTGGAAAGATCCATTGTAACAAAATTCTAGAAAATTATGAAAATTATAAATAGATGTCTCCTATTTAGAAATCATTTCAAATAAAACACAATTGAATGGATGCAGCATTGATATTATCACGAAAAGTATGTATGTAAAAGTCTACAAGCATTCATTTTGTTGTGTAACTAACTGCATAGTATGACATATTTGCATGTGGAAATGATCACCTAGATTTCTAACATACCAGTACACATGGATTATAACTTTTAGAAATTAGAAATGGCAGAGAATGTTAAGTGTTGGAAGCAACTCCGTCTTAATTTTATTTTCTGAAAATATATTAGAGATTTAACGTAATTATTCTGAGAGAATAAAGCACTAAAAAAGCCAAATGTTACCCATATAAAGCTAAAATCAGAACTATTGGACTTTTAGAAAGTTCTTGACATGGAATGATGAGAGGAAAAATGATTGTAAAATCATGACAATATCTTGGAAACCATCAACATCATCTCTATTGTTTCCACTCTCTTTAAGCAATCAATATTAGCAAATCTTGGAACTCTGCATCATTTCGGATCCTTTCCTGGAGTGGTCAACTGTGATGCATCTCTCTTATACATGCAGTAACTGAGTTACATACATACTGCCTATTTAATGCTGTCTTTATATATTTTCAGATGACAGTGAAAAAGACTTTGTCAGATTTTAGGCGTACTCATCATGATAACTGGCAGGACCATAAGCAGAAATTCACTGATGATCAGCTAGTCGTGCTTACTGATTTACTCGTTTCTCCAAACTACTACGCATGATCCCAGAAAGGTAGTCTTATAGGTGAGTAGCAACAATTAGGTAAAATGTCAACATTTTCTTTTTAGCCGTGGATGCTCTAAACTTTTGGAAATTCAAAAGGATACAGTAGTCTTATAGTCTAAAAGGAGGGCAGTGGTACTTTTTACCTGAGATAAATGTTGTTCCTGCATGACATCTGCCACTCCAATCCATTCCCAGCAACTATTTCACCAGCCTTTTCATCAATTTTAAACAAGAAAAATACATGATGTCAACTTTTGCGATGACAAATTAAGAGAAAATTTACTGATTGATTATTATTGCTAACATAATTTCCATCACATTTAGATTGATACTCATAAAAATTTGGGTTTTTAAAAATTTCAAATTTCGGAGGGAGATTTTCAACATTAAATGTCTACTAAATTTATGGAGCTCAGTTTATGTTTGGTTTAAGTGAAAATCCATAACATAAAAAATCTCTCGTTAAATTATTAGTAACATCATAGGAAAGATGGCATCACTGATCATGAACATTCAAGTTCATGTTCTGATGTAACATTCTAGTGCAAATTATTTACAGAAATTTTGAAACCATCATGGCTGAAATTGAAAATACATTGTAATAATATCACATAGTTATTTATCATTTTCCTCTTCAATAAAAATGCCATGGTTACCACATGAAACATGACATGGTTGTCATGGTATCACAAGTGGAATTTGGATAATTCCCAAGAATTGACATTCTTTTGAAGTATGAATTTAAATTACAAGAAGCAGACACTTTTCATGAATTCAAAAACAAGTGCTTTGAGTAATACATTGAAGAATAATTCAGATCCTAACCAAAGGATGTTAACAGTCGATCAGTTACCATCAGAAAAATTGCCTGTTAATTTAATCAATTAAAAGAAATTGGTCAATCGAGTTTTGGATATAAAAAATATATGCAAGACACTCTTATATTTTACATGTATAATTCTGGCTTTCGTTTCATCAAGAGTGTGAGGATAAAAAAAATTAGCTGAGAAATTTTGATAAGGATCGATAAGGTTTATTTCTGCATTGGATTTCATTTATCTACAAGTAGTTTTATTTGAAAAATACATCTGAGGAAATGTATTTTTGGAAAGGCAGTTACCTCACCTGTAGTTGCCTTGCCTGTAGTTACCTCGCCTGTAGTTGCCTCTCCTGTAGTTGCTTCGCCTGTAGTTGCCTCCCCTGTAATTGCCTCGCCTGTAGTTGCCTCTCCTGTAGTTGCTTCGCCTGTAGTTGCCTCCCCTGCAATTGCCTCGCCTGTAGTTACCTCACCTGTAGTTGCCTCCCTGTAGTTGCCTCACCTACTCCTACCATACTCCACCCATGTTCATATTGTAAAATTAATCTTATCAAAGCTGCAATATTAGAAGGCCTAAAACAGCTTATATAAGAAAATATGAAAGTACTCTTTCTAACGTACAGGGTGTCAAATAGATATATCTTCTCTCCTCCTTAGCTTTAACACCCAAATAATGTTGGATAATTTTTGTCTCTACATGATATCTGAACTGTACTTTAGTACATCAAAACTAGGCTTCACAGAGCAACTCCACAAGAAGTTTTGGATGCCTAGCTCAACTAGATGCACTTTTATGCACAAAAGTTCATTTCTTGAAATTAAGAGAGAGAATATATTTAGTTGACTGCCTATACATGTTCTGAGGTTTTGGAGGTATTATTGAGAGAAAATCAGTTTTGAAAATATTGACCTGGGTGTGATTCATGATTAGGTACAGTATTTATTATACTGTTGTAATTTGTATGTTGTCGTTATAATCATTAGTGGCTATTATCTTGTCCGCCCAGAAGTCCTTCGGGGCTTATTGTTTGGATATCACGCCATGCAAATCTACAAGCCATCTGAGTTATCATGTTATTGTCATTAATGGGCGTAATAAGCTTAAATTTTCTGACATGAAGTGTCATACTCAAAATAATGTTTTTCCATATTTTTTATTTGATTCTCCAATTTACAAAAGTACATTAATAATCATTGTTGAAGGAAATATGAACAGATAAGTTGTAAAAAATAATTGTTAAAGTTTCTAAAATCTGATCTGAATATAAGACATTGAAAGTGATTGGATTATTTAAGGTCCACAGTGCAGGTGTACTAATTGGCAGGACTGTCACAAAAATATACAGGGAGATATAGAGGATATCTTATGATTTATGAGTGATATGATTTTTATCCACGAATGGATATGATATCTGCACGAGCGAGCGTAGCGAGAGAGTGCAGATATCAATATCCATGAGTGGATTAAAATCATATGACGAGTAAATCATAGGATGTTCTTTTTATTCCATTGTTAAAGTCATCATCAGAATCGTCGGAAATTAAGTTATTTAATTCAAATTTCCAAATGATCCGGCGATGTTGACACTTGGCCTCGTTTTGAGTCTGAAGTAGCAAAAATCCATAAACCATCGCATACGATGTCGTATGTCATGGCTAAAAAAACGTATGTTATGGTCAAGTGAAAATTTGTCAAAAATATCATATTTTACCACTGATTACAAAAATACCGTTTTTATTTTCACATGTTATCCTATGAATATCATGCTAACTATGGAATAAATAGAGATTATCCTATATGAGGTTCAGGATATTGGGATTATCCCGAGGCCAATATAATATATTTGCCCGAGGGCCGCAGGTCCCAAGGGAAAATA